GCAAAAATGATCCAAATAACCAGTCCATTTGTCCTTACTTTTTTGGGTCTTGAAGCTGGATTTTTTTTTTAAAAAACCCCAAAACTATGGACATAAGATACTTGTTCTGATTAATGTCAATGGGGCTGATTCTTTGCTTAGGGCACATCCAGACAGCCACTTTATTGCAGAAAGTTCTGCAATAAAAAGGGGGTTGTCCAGATGATGTCATGGATAAACCCAAATTAATCCACCACAAACACTGGTTTGTGGCAAATTAATTTGATAGTGGGTTTATTCCGTGCCTTCTTGGAAGGTGTGGGATAAACCCACTACTTCTGGTGTCTGGACTGCCGTTCAGACTGTATTCCCATGTTTTTCCAGGCTAAATTAACCCAGAAACCTATGGGAATACCCCCACCCCAAAAGCTCCCCAAAACAGAGTAGAATAAATAAATAAAAGGACTCACTCGGCCTCCATGAGATGGTTGCCAGAGTTCTCCTGGCGTGTACAAATGATACGCCAGGAGAAAGGGGGGAGGAGGAGGAAAATTGCTCCTGCTCCCCTTCTCCTGGTACATCATTTGTATGTGACAGGAGAGCTCTGGCAGCCATCTCATAAAGGCTGGATGAGTTCTTCTGTTTTTTTTACTCTGTTTTGGGGGGCTTTTGAGGAGGAGGTTACAGTGTCCCGTGTTCTTCCAGGAAGTCCCAGAAGAACATCTGGATGCCCACCCCAGAAAGCGTGCGCTATCTGGGGTGTGTATATGGACCCCTGGGAACATCCGTATTTTTACAATGCAGATGCTCCTGGGATTAACTACCTGTCTGGAAGCACCTGAGTCACCTTTTGTAGATGTTGACAATAGTCTTATTTTAGCCACATTTTAATGTTAATGTCATTAATGTTTAAAAAGAAATCAGAAAATCAAGGTCCAGATAAATTCTATTGTTTCATCACTGGTCATTAACCATAACAACAAAGATTGAACAAGCATGGCTACTTTTGAGTATTAGGATAGTTGAAGAGCAACATGACTGTAATCTTGGACCTCTCAGTGCACTTTGGATTATTTTGCTTTCCAGCAGTAGAATTGGGATTTTCCCCTTTCTTTTAGTCCCTGCGAAGCACTCTAAGGCACTGAAAATTTTCACTGATGGGCTTTCTAACCACCTGGAGCAAGTTTTTAGGGAAAAAGAAATAAGGGGAACTATTATTATTTATCTGGCTTGACTAATGGGAATGTAGAGATTCAGTGGGTGCATAGAGTCAGATCCTGACCATGGGACAGCTGGTGTTTGATGCTGAGGGAAAATGCATGGGTCTATTAGTGGACATTACCAAAGGTTTTTTATTTTATTTTCATTCCCTAGCTCAGTTAAAATCAACTCAGTATTTCTCAAAATGATTGTCTGTTTGTTATACAAGAAATAGTTGAGATGACTGGAACCAAGAAACTCAAGGATTGTTTCCAGGACCCAGATTAAACAGAAATCAAGTTAGGGAAAGAGGAATGCTAGCAATAAAATGACCCTATTTTTTAAACTGCCCTAAAAGTATTCTACTCAGCATTTTAACATTTTAATTATAACTATTGAATAATATTTTAAAATGGCTCTGTGAAGACTGGTAAAATTCAATTTATGAAAAGTGGCCAAATCTAGATATGAAACATGATCAAAGGGAAAGGGAGCAGAAGGAGGACAAGGGAGGAGGAAGTGCAGAAAATCCAGGATATTTCAAGAAAGAGTTTGGATGCCAAACAATGGATATGCTGATTAAAACAAATTAGAAAGTCTTGGTATTTCTAAATACATTTTTGTGATCTGGATAGGTCCCAAGAAAGCCTTCAGTTTGACATCAAAGTCTTAGAATCACAGAATTTTAGAACTGGAAGAGATAACAAGGGCCATCAAGTCCAATACCTTGCCATGCAGGACAAGTACAATCAAAGCACCCAAAGCAGGTGACCATCTGGTCTCTATCTAAAAACCTCCATAGAACGAGACTCGACCACACACCAAGGAAACAACATATTCCACTGTCAAACAGATCTAACTGTCAGCAAGTTCTTCTTAATGTTCAGATCGAATGCCCTTTCCTCTGACTTGAATCCATTGCTCTGTGCCCTAGTATCTAAAGCACCAGAAAATGAGCTTGTCCCCTCTTCAGTATGACATCCTTTCAAATATTTAAACATGGAAAGTCTTCTCTCAACCTTCGCATCTCCAGGTTAAACATACTGAAAAAAGAACATCTACCATATCACAGAGTCATAGCGTTGGTGATATCATTGTGGGCTATCAGGTTCAGTCTGCTGCTCCGTGCAGAATTTCCAGAAGCATTCTCAACAGGGAGCTGTCCAACCTAGTTCTGTCCAACCTTGTTCTGAAGTTATCAGGAGAAGGATATCTTGTTATTCTATGGGCACATCTACAGTGATCACTTAGCACAAAGTATACCAAAATTTGTTCTATGATGGCTACATGCTACACAGAGCTGTTGTGAATTAGCACAAGGCGAAGCTGCTTAATGCAGTTTTGGCCATGTCAACCAAAGTCATGGATTGATCCAAATTTACAACTTTGGGCCCATATAAACTGTTGGACTGGTACTGAAATAAAATCATCTGGTAAAACATGGGTCCTGTTGGTCACTTGTTGCCTGCAGTAGTGTCTGCTGGAGTAGCAAATGAAAAAGGGAGAAGGAGAGGGAATGATTCCTCCTCTCCCTATGGCACCCCAGTCAATATGACTTAAGGTGATGAGCATGTTGTACCTACTGATCACTGTGACAAGAAGAATGGGAGGGGACAGAAAGAGTGGCCATCTAGCAGTACTATATCAGTGCAATTGCTGGGTAGCAGGTGGCAGTGTAAACCATACCGGATGTGATCCAGTATATGTTATACTGGATCAGCCCTGGGGTCAGCGTAGATCTGCACTAGGAAATTGGTTCTCTTACCAAACTCTTCTCATAGTTGATATTTAGTCAAAACATACCTTCCTTTAATGTCAATCCATGAAACCCAGTTCTCCCCTTTGAGGAAGCATAGAACAAGCCAGTATGTCTATTTCTAGCAGCCCTTTAGGTATTTAAATAGTCAAATCACCCCTCAGTCTTCTCTTCTCCAAGCTGAACAAGCCCAGCTCTTTCACATTCAACGTATATAGTTTGTTCCCTAGATCTCTTATCATCCTCATTGCCCTTATCTGAACCCACTCCAATTTGTCTATAGCTTTCTTAAAACCTGGTGCCCAGGAGTGAATATTTTATAGTCAGCCCTCTTTATCTAGAAGTTTAGCATTCATAGATTCAGCTAACCATTGTGCAAAAATATTTTAAAAGAAAACTTTGATTTTGTTATGCACCAAAGACTGAACAGTTTGGGTCTAGGCTATTTGTCTAATCACATCTCCCTATACAGGCCATCCTGTGCACTGGAGGAGGTCCTCCCCTCAGTCCCACCTCCATCACAAGATTATTTGGTGGGAATGAGAGGGGGCCTTCTCCGTGATCGCGCCCTGTCTCTGGAACTCCTTCTCTAAAGAAGTAAAAATGGCCCCACCCTCCTCTCCTTTAAGAAACTCCTGAAAATGCACCTATGCACTTTAGCATATGGAGAGGAGGAGGACTAAGACACTTGAACTACTTGGAATGCTGGCAAGTCCCACTTGTACTATATGGCTGCCTCATTACATTTCAAATGAACACCCATGCCAGGCATTTTTAATGTAGCTGTATTTTATATTGCTTTTAGGATATTTGTTGTAATGTATACTTATTTTTTAGTTAACTATGTCTTATTGGACTATTTTTTATCATAATGCCTGATTCTTCATTGTAAGCTCACTGTTATTATTGTTGCTTTATTGCGTATTATTTTGATATGTTTGTACTCACCCGAGGCATTGAATGTTTGCCTTTTTATGTGCGTAAACTGCCTTGTTTGAAGTGTTAACCATTTTATATAAGGATTGCTATTTTATTATGGGACTTGAGTTTCCACAGATTTTGGAAGTGATAATGATGCTGCAGTTTCAAAGAGGAGTTGACCACTTTCATTGTGATTTCTGCATGTTGTCAGGACATGATGATTCTGTTCTTTTCAGTCAGCACTAAAAAGTCATCTGATTCTTAATTTCTGTCTCTAGAGTGCATACACTACTTATTTACCTAATGATAAAATAGAATGACCCCCTTTCCTTCCATAATCATTAACTGGAAATTTTCTATATCAGCATATTTAGCTAATAATGTTATTTCCTTAATGGAGTTCAGATCTAATCTGAGTAAAGGTGTTTTGTGGAATCTGTGAAACAGTTTTATGAGAAACAAATAAGCTCTTTTAATTTTTTTGTTTTTGAAATGGGAGTTTGTATGTATGACATAAATGAATCAGAAAATTATCTAATGCTGTTTTTATCTAACAAATACCCTTACACCAAGTTTTATGTGTGTTGTGCAAGAAAACAGTTAGTTTTGAACTAAGGTGAAACAAAAAAACCTGACATAGTAGATCTCATCAGTTGTCTAGTTTGATTAACAAATAATCAGCTAACTTAAGTCTATAGCAAGTAATTGATTATTTATGTAACTGAAACCCCATGACTTGTGTACACAAATAGCAATGTCATTACCATTGCTAAACATTTCCATTTCCTTGTTCTTCAGCATGTGTTAGTAATAACTTTATATTTAACTGATAATGGCTATTTTAGTCTGGGAATGTATCCAGGTTTAGAGGTTTATTATATATATAGATATAACTAGTGATGTCCAAAACTGATGTTTTTATACATGAAGATAAACTTAGCATGTCACAACATCTGAAATGTTTACATTTAATTTTTTAAATGGTTGGTTTCTTGTCTTCCATTGGGATTAGTAGCTTTTGAATATCATTGTACTTCCTAAATCAGAGTAATACAATTTAAAGTTAAAAGGTTTAAGTTAAGCCTGCAAAAATAAAAAAGTATCAGTGTTCGAACTTAACCCTTCACATTCTGGCATTTTCCAGACTGCCAGCCAAATGAACACTTTAGGAGGAGGTGTATAAATATGTCTGCAGCACCCAGAGAGTTAATCAACCCCATTGTGCATAGGTGTTGGAGCTCTTATGGTATGTAAGATCATACACAATTCAGAGTTATTTTGTATTCTCCTTTAATATATACGTGTTCCTCATAAATAACATCTGTAAGCATAGTTATCTTATTAGAACTATCAGATATGCATATATAAGGGGCTGAACTGAAATGGGTCTGGAACACAGGTGATACCTCTCAAATTCCAAATCCAGGGTGAGAGATTGTGCACCACAAGCAGAATCACAGTTATTCCTTTGCTCCCAATGACCATGTATAGAGTAGTAAATTACAAAGGTGTTCAAATGTGCTGAGGATATGCATTCAATAGTAAGATGATTTTGAACCAGTTGGTCATATGAATGGAGTGATAAAGAGTTAGATGACAGAAAGGGGTCCCCTTAGCCAGAGTGAAAAAGAATTAAAAATTTTAGTTGGGTTGCTGTGAGTTTTCCGGGCTGTATAGCCATGTTCCAGAAGAATTCTCTCTTCACAACCTCTGAGGATGCCTGCCATAGATGTGGTTGAAATGTCAGGAGAGAATACTTCTGGAACATGGCCATACAGCCCGGAAAACTCACAGCAACCCAGTGGTTTCGTCCATGAAAGTCTTCGACAACACAAAGTTGTAGCTAATTGCCCTATTCACACTTGAAAAGAATGGGCTAGGCTCATGGAGTTATCTGCCCCTCAGTGTGTATATATGTGCTTTTAAATGCACCTGGGCCTGAATTTTCAAAGCCATTGGCAAGTACATTATTAAGCTATTTGCCAATCATTTCTGTGGTACACTGGTTCAAAACCATACTTGCTACTTCTTATCTATTACCACCACGGACAATCTAGGTTTTCTAATATATCTTCTAATATATCTATGAGGACATTCAAAATAAATACAAGCTAGGCCCACATCCTACTAAAGGAGTAATAAGGTGATGCAAGTCTGAGTTCCCTAAAAAGAGAAATGTTATAACTGCTTCAGCTAGACCTGTAGGTTTCTGGGCAGTATAATATTTCTGTTCACTTTCCAGAGAGCTGAATCAGCAAATACAATAGGATTGTTGCTAAATAAACTAACATGCACAGATTGCTGCATTTGCTTATTTAAAATGCATAGGCCAGGATCCAATTGGGTTCTTGCTCTGATGCAAGAAGCTCATCAACAAATCTCAAAGGAGGCAGGTTTGTAGTTTCTATGCATTTCCTCTTGGCCAACAATAGCTATTTATTCCTTAGGACTGGAAAACATCCAGAGAAGAGTTTGAAGTGGTGGTGAAGATGGGATGGGAAGGAGAAGGGGACATTCTGTTGTAGGTCTGTGGGCAAGTATTGGCAGGGAAATTGCCTCTACTGATGGGGTCCTTCCATCAGCCCGGGGCTCCACCTTGCTCTGGGCCACAGTATTTATTTATTTGAAAAAGTTGTTCAAGATCCTTCATTGCAATGTAAAGATTGCAATTGGTGCTGGTTGTACAGCATCTTGCAGTAAACATCTCTTAACATGCAATGATAATTACTAAAACTTTTGGTATTAGGTCCTAGTAAGTGTTACTCTCAGGAACATTGCTTTATTGCAGAACTACTAAGAATATACAGATTTCTTCCAGTCTTGAATTTTTGTATTTAGTTTATAGACAGAATACTTTCATGTGATAATTAAGGGCTGGATTCATCATCTCCGTGACACAGATACACACACAAACATATATATGCCTTAGATATTACAATTAATAAAGTTTCTGGGTTATCACATACCCAGGTGATTTGGCTACCAGAGGGTAGTAATATGAACATTAAAGACTCTTCAAATTTGTAGCATTAATTAAAAAAATCACAGTATCTGCAAACAATATTACAATACATAAAGTGCATTTAGAGAGGAATAAATACTTATACTTAATTTCAAGCACAATCATTTCTCTAAAAGTGGCTCCAAGTGCACTTTCTTACAAGCCATTTTTAGGTGGTTAAATTTTTATATGTAAGTAATAAAACCTTAACATCTAGGCTTCTAATGAGAATATTAATAGACCACTAGTAATTTCACTGTAGTAGGTAACATTATAACAAAGATGACTGTTATATAAAAAGGTAATGCTACTTAACTTCATGTTTAACAATGCTTTCTGTTGTAAACTATTCTTCATTAAAATATTCCATTATTTGATTCTTTAGTAATTGTTGGAAAAAAATGTTTAAAAGCTTTCCTGTCGTCTCTTCTTGAAAAATTCTGTTCTTGAAAAAATTGATTTGTTTAACCATTGATGATGAAACAAGCATGTTTTTATGTATCAACCCATACAGAAAACAGCAGAAATTATCAATTTATACAAAGGACTTCTATATACAGCTTTGTAAGGGAGTCGCAATTCAAGTTCCCAAAGGCCAAAGATGTTTGCAAAAGCACTAAACATAAAATAACTAGTTACTAGGATGGTATTGTTAAGTAGCATACTGCAGTGTTAGACATACTTGAGTCCTTGTATGTCTCACTGAAAAGAACCTGGGAAGTTAAAGGAAGTTCCTTTAAGAAAGCTGGGTCTGGATTGCTTCAACATGTCATCAAATTCATTCATAGAATCACAGAAGCATATTTATATATTTTATTTATTTATTTACTATACTTGTATACCACCTTTCTCAGTCTTATCAGTGACTCAAGGCATCGAGTTGGAAGAAACTACAGGGATCATGTAGACCGGACATGGGCAAACTTCGTCCCTCCAGGTATATTGGACTTCAACACCCACAATTAGGGTTTGTGGGAGTTGAACTCCAAAACACCTGGAGGGTTGAAGTTTGCCCATGCCTGATCTTGCCCCATTCTGCCATTCAGTAACACCCAGTCTAAGCACTCTCAACATATGGTCATTCAGCCTTTGTTTAAAAGCAATCGGAGAAAGAGATCTTCTTGAAAGGAATTTTCCAAACTCTGTTGAAAACATATTGTTGAAAGTTTTCATGGCTGAAATCACTGGGTTGTTGTGAGTTTTCTGGGCTGTATGACCATTCTCTCCTGACACTTTGTCTGTATCTATGGCAGGCTTCCTCAGAGCTTCTGAGGTCCTCACAACCTCTGAGGATGCCTGCCATAAATGCAGGGTAAACATCAGGAGAGGATGCTTCTGGAACATAGCCATGCAGCCTGGATAACTCACATCAACCTCTGTTGAAAATCTTTAAAAATGCTGTGACAAGATAGCAGCAACTCCTGCAGCATTTTGTAGCATGTTTATGTGTCACAGAACCTTTTACTTTAAATACTAAAAGCTGACTTTCACCTCAGTTGCTTTTGAAAGGCTCCTGAGTATCAAAATGTGTTTGCCTTGTGGGTAGTGATTCTTACTACTGTTTAAGAAGCAACTTAAGAAAGACACTTTATTGTTATCTGGATCATGGTCCAAGACATATATCCAGTTGGATATGAGTTTTTTGCAGGCAAGAGCTGCAAATGAAATGTGAAAAAGATCACAGCAAAAGCTGGGGGGGGGGGGGACATCAGGTCATATCTAACTTAAAAATCAGGCACAAGTTTTAGTTCATATCTAATCAGCACTTTTAAAGCTGAGCTTCAACTGAAGTAATGGCAGTTACACAGAAAATTATCTCACTTAACTCTTTTTAAAACTCGATGAAGAAACTGCTGGTCTTAAAATATTTACGAGCATTTAACTAATTCTATTTAACTGTTTTCTAAAATCTTGATTACCCTTTTTCTTACTAAAATGATTAAAGCAACACTTTGCTTCATGGGAATAAATTATCAGAGCTGAACTTTTGAATCATTGTTAGAAAAAGTGAGTAGATACCTACGAAAGGCACCAGATCCCACCTGATCTTGAAAGATAAGCAGAATTACCCCCGGTTAGTATTTTTATGGGAAACTGCCAATGAATGTCAGACTATATTTTAGAGGAAGGAATAGCAAAACCATTTTTGACTACCTTACGAAATTCATGGGATCTGTATAGGTTGACAGGCAACTTGAAGGCACACACATATCTCTAGTTGTATTTAGCAGTTAATGCTAAATACAACCATGCATATCAAATCAGTATCAGTGCATCTGTGGAATTTATTTCCAAAAGGTACTAAATGCACCTGAATAAATTTTACAGGAATCAAAGAAAATGTGCTGAGGATGTGCATTCTTTTGCTACAAAATGCAATTTTTCAAGCCCTGTACCAAAATGATTTGATACTTTTGATAGCTTTGATCTGTACATAATATTCAACTCCTAGCCAACAATGAGCATCAGCTATAACTAATTTTTCTTTTGGTTTTAGTACCTTTTGGAAACAAACTTTTCATCTTTTTTTCAGGATAAAGAACATGATTTAAAGATGGTCTCAGTGAAAAAGAAGTAGAATAGCATCGTTGAAGGCTTTCATGGCTGGAATCACTGGGTTGCTGTTAGTTTTTGGGGCTGTATGGCCATGTTCCAGAAGCATTATCTCCTGACATTTTGCCCACATCTATAGCAGGCATCTTCAAAGGTTGTGAAGTCTGTTGGAGAATAGGCAAGTGAGGTTTATATATCTGTGGAACCCCACTTGCCTAGTTTCCAACAGACTTCACAACCTCTGAGGATGCCTGCCATAGATGTGGGTGAAACATCAGGAGGAAATGCTTCTGTAACATGGACATACAGCCCAGGAAACTCACAACAACCCCATAGAATAGTGTTATGATATTTCATTGGCACAATAAAAATACAGAATACAATTTTCATGTGAGGACAACTGCTCAAACAATCAAGATATATATTATTTATAATTTAATAACCTTCCTGTAAAGTTTCCATTTTGAACTTAGGTATCAAATTAGTGTTAATATATTATATTAACAACAGCATTAACTAACTAAAACAGAGAGTACCTTTTCTACCAGAATTCCAGTTAAATGAAATACCATGACATGTCACTAGTTTGTTGAACTTCAATTCAATGAAGTTTCATAAGCCTATGTTAGACATAACCTGAATTTACTCTTCTTATTTACAGAAAACTGATATTAGAAACGAGTGGAGGTTAT